ACATAGGACATCCTGTCTCTGGGAGACGTCTCCTCATCCTGTTACTGGCTCTTTTAGTCCACAGCACATTGCTATAGCTCCCGCTCAGCTGTATGCAGCACTCACTCATCTGACTGGACCCAGTTTATTGGGTACCTCCCACCAAGACCTCATAAAAAAATTCTTAAGTGTCTCAGTAAAAATGCTTCAGGCTTAGTGAGAATCTCACTAGCTCTACAGAAATCCTGCATGGGTGTCATCAACAAAACGCTTGTGCTTGTGCAATGTGTGGCTGCGGGGCAGCACAGGTCTGAGAGCTCAGCACAATCATGCAGCACCTTCAGGGCACTCTACTCAGCTATCTCTTACCACAGGTTACAATGACTGATCATTTCCTGCGCTAGAGGCTTCCTTCCCTCACCTGCTTCTCCCTCACAGACACAAGATGGGTTGTCTTCCTCAAGACTTTAACCTCTCCCTTGCAGCTGCAGGACCTCAACACTGGCAGTCAGTTTCAGAAGCCATTTGCTAACCTGTACTCCAAGTATCTTTGAATATTTCTTACATGCCATCCCCTTCTGTAAGAAACTGGCAAAAGAAAAAAATTCTACCACTATCAATCCATCACCTTTAAAATTACTCCTTAAGCCCTCTTCCTGAAGTCACCTTACAAAATACTTCCCACTAGCAACTGCCAGCTAGCAGCAAGCTTAATTTTATTCTCATTTTCCTTCTGCACCAACGTTAAAGTTGACAGGAAGGGCTGTTCTTATGTGGTGGGAACCCAGTGGGAGGTAAAATGAGAACATTAGCCAGAAACCCCTACTGACAGCAGTACTCAATGGGAAGGGGCCTGGCACCCGGACTGGAGATCTGTACCCTTTAAACGTGTGGCATTGCTGATGTTGGCCTTTGTTGGCTTTCTTCATCTTATTCACACATTTGAGCAAATGAAGAAGTTAAAGCCACAAAATAAACAAAACAAAACAAAACAAAAAAAAAACAGGAAGGATGACCCACACTTGAGCTCAGACTTTCACAAGCTGTGGATGTTTCCTGTGCTGTTCCAACTTGTTCGACAGCACGAAGGACATTATGTCTATTTAAACAGTGTCTGCTGAGAACTGCTGGCACAGAACAAAGCTGGGACTGTGACTTTCTGCCTGTTCCTTATGAAGCACTATTGGCAAAGAAGGATGCTCCAGTTGGTGACTTGATCCAGCAGTTACAGGGATGAGTTTTGTTGGCTTGGGCCTTTACTGTTCCTGGAGAATGGGAATGTCAGAAACATCCTCAAGAAGGGAAAAGTAGAGGGGAAAGCTAGAAAAGCTGCAGCGATAAAACGTGCTGCGGTCACAGCCTTCAGCTGTGGGCACAGGGAAGCCCTGAGCAAGCCAAGATCAGGCATGGATTAAGATTGGGCTAAACCTGTCTGGTTTGGTGTTGGTAGATGCTGAATGCTCCCTGAACTGATCTTTGTTAGAGGAGGAAAGAAAGGCTTTTCTCATTAATGAGTGTGCATCTGCAAACAGGAAACCCTCAGGAATACCAGTATAGGTGTGGGAGTGGGTGTTGTAAGCACCTAATTTACACGAGATAAATGTTGCATTCCAACAATCTTTGTTCTGACTTCCTACAATACACACAACCTTCAAACTGCTTTCTCTCTGCCAGTATCTACCCCATGGTTAAAGGCAGATGCCCAGTGTGGGTGCACACAGGGCGGCTCATCTCACACATATGTGCCAGGAGGCACTTCTGCATGCAGTCAGTTGCTAATATCTAGACTGCAGGAAATGGTACAGATCTGTTCACAAGATCAGAAGTGCTTTTTCACACTAACGCCGAGCTATCTTTAGCCTCTGCGCATCTCTTTTTAAACAGTCTTCTCTTATTGCTACTTCTTGCTGTCCTAAGGCAGTTGTACTTGGTATCAACAGTTTCTGGAACCCTCTGAGACGAGTCTGTAACAAGGAACAGAAGTCCTTTAGAACGTTGCAGCCCAGTAGCAGTTTCCAGTTTGGAGAAGTTCCTCTCACACCATTATTCTTGCCTGAAAGATCCATTTTATCAGTTACAAAGCACAACACCAAGAAGAAGAAATGCTTCACCTACCAGACGATCAGCAGAAAACACGAAGTCTCCTCTACTGGCTGTCCTGAAAAAGGGAACAATTTCTGTTTTAAATCGGGGAATAATTTTAAGGATATTGCTTAATTATGGCAGTTCTTCAAGGACAGTATATTCCAGGGACAGTTTATATAAAAGTTTCCTGCTGGATTCCAACTTCATCCTGCAGAGATCCTGCTTCATGGGTTTTGTGGTGGGTGGAGGAAGCTGAGGGGCTGGAAACTACCGAGGGCCTGGCCTCTTTCTGCTGGCAATGCTGCTGCACTGTGTAAGCAGCAATTAAAGCATGAAAACATAAGGCTGATATTCTGGTGGTTGTTCCAGCTCAGCTCCAGCACCTCAGAAGCTCAGATCTCAGCAGCCTGATAAATGTTCCGCATCTTTAAGCAGGAGATCTTTGCTTCGCTTGCTCTTACATCACTGAAACCATGGGACAACGAAAACATAAGATTAGACCAGTGAACTTGAGACTAAATGAGCAGGGATGCACAAATACCACCACAAAAACACCTCTCTGCTGGCCTACAGCTTGGATGAAACTTCTTGCCAACGTGCCTGCTTGGCTTCTGGCCCATTCAGAAGACAGGAAGAATGGGCTCACCTCTTCCTGCTGCACACTGTGCAAATATGCCACGTTGAAAGCTAGAGAGAAGTAAGACCAAGTTTTAACACCTTGCTTCCCATGTCAAGACGTTGTGGTCAAGGAGCCGATGTTTACAGTCTATTGGCCTTACAAAAATCCTCTAAATTAACATCACATGCACAGCAGTTACACCCTTCTCACTGTCAAACTATGATACCCTAATACACTGTACAGAGAGTTGTGCACTCAAACCCCAAGGTTCTGCAACATCTTATGTTCATGTGAGTGAAAGCCAAGACGTCTGCATGCCCAGTCCCTGTGCACACACAGCTAGCCATGCTAGAAGACAGTCTGAAGCAGACTGGCAGCCTCATCTTTCTCCTTGTGCACTACATGTTATTCATTATTTCAAATGCTGCTTGTTACTCTTTTTGTTCTTTCCAGGAATGACAGGCTCTGTCTAATTTTCTCCTTCTTTGACTTAATCGGAACCAGTACTCAAACAAAACCCACCAAACAAGACAAGCCTAGCCATCATATAAAATGCTTCTGTTAGGATTTTGAAAGGGATTCATATTCCCAATAGTAGTGAGCGCAAACCCAGAAAACTAACAGCAAGTAGCAAGGAGTGCAGGTGGTGTATTATGAGTTTTCTCCAGACTGGACTGTGGCATTTCAGAAAATTTACCTAAATTCCACTTAAGGGTGGAAACACCTGTGTCACACCTTTGTTTGCAAAGCGATGCACATTCAGAATGAACGCTATGAATGAATACAAGATACCAGGCTTTAGTTACCCTGACCTTGCAGAGAGACTTGGATGCTCTCACAGCCGGTTCACAGAGCCGCCTTAGCCAGCTGTGCCCGGCTTTGAAGGGACGAAAGACAACACAGAACTGCAGAGGCATGCACAAAAATGAGACCCAAATAATTATGAAAACGACAGAGCCTTTGTGCAGCTGCAGCTGGAAAGCTGTCACCAGATTTCAAACCTCATATCATAAAGGTGTTAATTTCTGGTGGCCAGAAAAAATGAGGGGCAGAAGCACGGCCGTGCGGTGTGAGCTTTGCTGACATCAGCAGGCAGCAGGATGCAGGGCACAAGGGCTCATTCTGAACCTGAACGTTGCCAACCCACGCTGCTCACCTCTGGGTCCAGTGGTGGTGCTCGCATCACAGCGGGCAAATCGTGCTTTTAATAGATGCCCGCTATGTATGTTTGTCTTACGTTGCACGCTAAATTTAATACACTATAGTATCACCTTCCATGTGCCGAGCAGATACAGACGTGACCAAGGGAGGTACACTCCCACTGCCAGGGCAGCCGAGCACGGCGCACTGAATCACCATGTCCTGAGCACCTCACTTTGCACATTCGGCACAGGGGCACCATTTTGCATTCATTTTTGCTCTTCTGGTTTGGAACGGGGGGCTCACGGCCGGGGGCGGAGCGGGCCGGCCGTCAGTTAAAGGGCGGCGCTCCCCGAGCGGCCGGAGCGGCGAGCATCCTGCGGGAGCTGCCGGAACGGTGGGAGAGCGCCGGGAGCAAGGATGCGACGCGGGGCGCGCGGGCGACGGCCCCGCCCGGAGCTGCCGGGAACGCGGCGCCGCCACACGGCGTCGGGGAACGGCCGCCCCCGCCCCGCGGCACGTCACCGCAATGGCCGCGCGGGAGGCGCTGCGCAGCGCCGCGGGAGCCCCGCCGGGAGCACGCGGCCCTCCGAACGGCTCCGCCGGACGGGGCCGCCCGGGGGGAGCGCGGGTACGACCCCACCCCCGTCTCCGTCCCCGTCTCCGTCCCAGCCCCGCGGGGCCGCTCACTTGTCCCTGATGATGGTCTGCAGCTCCCGGATCTGATCGTTCATGGGCAGCAGCTTCAGCTGCGCTCCGAGCGGCGACGCGCACTCCTCCGCCGCTGGGCTGGGGACCGCCGCCGCCCCGTTGCTGGCGCTGCTGCTGTCCGGGCTGGGGCTGCCGCTGCCGCTGCCCTCGGAGGGCTCGGCGAAACGGATCAGCCGGGAGCAGCCGCCCGCCGGCGCCGTCTGCTCGTCCTGGGGCCGCGGGCCGCCGGCCGCGCCGAGCCGCTGGTTGTGGCACGGCATCGCCTCCATGCGCCGGGGCCCCCTCCCCCGCGCCGACCGTGGCCGCCACGCGCCGCGCCGCGCCGGCCCCGCTGCGCCGCCGCCGAGGGGCGGGGACGGGGGAACGGCCCGCCCACCGCCTCCTCCCGTTGGCTGCCGCCGCCGTCGCTCATGGTGGTGCGGGGCGCTGCCGAGCTGGGGGCGGCGGTGCGGCGGTGGCCGTGGCGGGCGGTTCTGTAATGCCGCGCTGTGGGACGAGGGCCGCGTGGGTTGCGGTTCCTGGAGGAACGTTTCTTAGCGTGTGCTCGGGCCCTTTGCGGCTCTACTTAAAGCGTTGCCCTGGGGCGGCTCAGCCCTGCCCTCAGCAGAGCCCTGCCCTCAGCTCCCGGCCGACCGCGGGCGTGCGGGCTGCAGCGGGGGAACGAACCGCTCGCTGGTTCCGTGCGGGTGCGCTGAGCAAAGCCTAAGTGAGCCTCTGCTGCTCCGTGTGTTCGCACGGGCCTTGCCGGGTTCTAAATATGAAGCGCTGATTGCGCTGTGTCCCGTGCTTTCTTCACCCGTACTTGCTATTGTCCCTGCGTCGGGAACCTTTCTGGTGAGTGGGAAAGCTATGAGAAATTCTGTGCTAAGCTGGTGCAGAAGTCGTGTGGCAGAATGGAAACAGCTTGGGCTCAGTGATGCCCTTCTTAGTGGGGGGAATGGTGTGCTCGTGTGAGCTCCAGGCAGGGGCTGCTGCTGGTGGAGATGTGGCAGAGCCCGGAGGAGGCACAAACACACACCTCTCGTTTGACTCGAGCACTGATCCTGCAGCAATTAAGGGATGGATATCAGTAATTTTGTAGGCAGGTGTCTGTTAGGAGAAGGGGATTTAAAAAAATAAATAAATAAATAAAAATAAAAATCAAAGTTTTGGCACATCTTAATTAACTTGTCAGTCTAGTTAACAGATAACCAAACCTGCAGGAACTCTGCAGAGCTGAAACAACAACACTTAACGAGAACTTACTGTGGGATTGCAGCTGACTTGAAAATGTAGCTCAGAGAGAACAGAAGACAAAGCTGATAAGAAGGTGGAAGGATTGCAACAGCCTGCGAAGCCATCTGCTCCAACAAACGTTCGTGTACGTTCACTTAGTGTACCTATAGATACGTCGCTGTGAGTATTGGCAAAGGTCACTATGAAAATGGAACCTAGATAGCAGACAGAACTTTCAGTGGTGGGGATTGGAGTATTAGTCTCTGTTGGGTTGACTTGGAGCTGACTCAGGGACCCTTACATTTGTTAAAGAAGAGCAGCACTGGAGAGCAAACAGACTGAAAGACGACCTGAGTGCTGGGAAACTGGAACCTGCAGTAGGAACTGGGAGATGAAAACAGATGATTTAGGGAAGGCTGGACATGCAACTATGGATTTCGCCTGAATATAAATGACCAGTTGTTAGATTTACATGAACCATTTTCTAGTCTTTTTTTCCCCCTGTGCAAGGCTTCAGAAACAATTCATCTTCTTTTGTCATTTGATATATATATAAACGTGTGTGGGAAATATATGTAATTTTTAGTTCTGTTTTACAGGGCAAAATGAGAGACGGATGTATCTAGCAGCAACCAGCAGCAGCTTTTTGAGAGGCAAAGCCAAAAGAAGGGCAGTATCTCCTGTGCTCTGGTTTGACTCCATTTACCGTTAAGCTGAGATAACTTGCTGCCAAAGTCTCAAGTAGCAGGCCATCCAGCCTAGCAAAACACAGAGGCCCCAAACAAAAGGTAGGCCAGAGAGTAAGAAGCATTTTGCAGTATGTTTGGGGGTTATCTATAACAATTTAATGCTTTATTACTTAACTAAGTAGTATCTCTGTTGGGAAACTGCGATCTATGAAGTAGACAAGTCAGGGAAGGAGGATACAAGTAAAAGCTGCTTGGAAGGATGGGACACTAGTCTGAAAACTTAGTATCATAACTGCAAAGTCTCTGACACCAGCACAGGTGGAGCTCATTCTAGTGCCATAAAACTGAGAGGGCAGCAGGTTTTGCCCTCATGTCACATCATGGCATTGTGGCAGTCTTCCAGCTAACTAAATTCAAGTCTTTACTACAAGAGTGGTGAGGTGCTGGAACAGCTGCCCAGAGAGGTTGTGGATGCCCCATCCCTGGACGTGTTCAAGGCCAGGTTGCATGGGGCCCTGGGCAGCCTGGCCTGGTATTAAATGGGGAGGTTGGTGGCCCTGCCTGTGGCAGGGGGAGGTTGGAGATTCGTGACCTTGAGGTCCCTTCCAACCCGGGCCATTCTGTGTGATAAATTTCTAACCCACAGACATTAGTCCTTTTCACTGTGCCTGTATTATATCTAAGTTAATATGAATAAACCTGTTGAGACAGAACCTAAGGATAGTTTATTATTTGGAGTTTCATCCTTGTGGAAAGGACCTTGAGTTGCTACCACGATGCATGTGAAATACAGCACCTGTAATAATTAAAGACCAATTGCATTTTCACTGAGTTTGTTGCTGACATCAACAGAAGTGTCATACAAGGGATGAAATACACAAGAAAGTTCACATGTATGGTTTTTTCCTTCAGGCAAGTGCTCTCAGCATTGATTTTGATGCTTGCCAATTTGATGCTGCCTCTTCTAGGCCAAAATCTCAAGTGCCTGCATGCTGCCACCTGAGAAGACATTTTCTAAGATCGTGCTGTGCCAGCCCTGCCTGATGAATTTCAGAGGTAAGACAGGTGACTGCTTAGCTGGAGTGGTACAATGAAGGATCAGGGCATGTGTTAATGGAAGTCAGAGGTTATTTAATTGGAAGCCTAACTTAATCAGTATGTGTGTCTAGAGATTGAAATAGAAACAAGGTCTACCCATATTCTAGGGATTGTGCACTAGGCATAGAATTATTTATAAAAGGACTGTTTTACAGGATTAATAAGATGATATATTAAATTCCATCTTCTTGACATTCATGCAGTCAGGTCAGATTTGGTGTTTTTTTTTTCTTTGACTTTAGGTTAGTTAACTGTCAAGACTCAAATTTCAAACACATGTAAATTGTGCTGTATCCTAGTTACTGTTCTCTGAGTGCTTATTTTTAACCAGGCACCGAAACTTCTAAAATTCAAGCTGTTAGTTAGGTGACACTGCATGGCCAGTAATTAATGTCAGTATATCAGACTTTCACTGTCTGCTTCATATTTAAAGTTAATGCTTCTGGTCCCCCGAGGACAAGACAATATGTGAAATGCAAGGGAAGAAAGATACCGCAGAGATTTAGTCCCTTAAGAAGGCAAGTTCATTTATGCTATGGGCAAAAACAGTGCTTCTAAACATTTTCTCCAGTATTGCCCTCAGTGTCTGAAAGTCAGTTCTCAGCACACTAAGACAAGGTGCACAGTGAAGCCTGAATGTACCTATTTTCTTCTTGGTGATTGCTATACACAGTCAGTATATTTTTGGCATTTCTATCTTGAGTTTGTGATCCATTTAATACACCTGGTTTGTTTGTAACTGCATGAGGGGACAGCATGAAGTAAAGAATAATAAAAGTATTTTGTATCCATACATTCCCTGGTAAAGATTCAGAGGAGGAATAGCACTGTTTTGTTTTGGTTTTGTTTTTGTTGTTTTTTTTTTTTTTTTTTTTTTAAGAAATGACAAACTGTATGCAGGCTACAGCTGTTAGCATTGCACAACTAATGAAGTTAATCCTTTCTTCTGCTCACCACACAAACGTGATCCTATCGCAGTGTTTTACAGACTCAGTATCTGCAGGAGTTAAGATTTCATTGATTCACTCTTGAACTTAACCATTCTTACTGTAATTTCCTCCCTCCCCCAACATCTTGTTGGAATTTCTCTTGTTATGACTTGCAGTTGTTGCCTCTTGTCCTTTCTCAGTGAACTTGCAGGAAGAATCTGGCACCTTTTCTATAGGTGTGTTTAAAGTAATTGAAGACAGCAATTGCATAATCCCTCAGCCTTTCCTTCCCCACGCTTGGACAAGCCCAGTTCTCACCCCTGGCGCAGTGCATGCCATCAGCTTGACTCTCACTATAACACTGTGTAAGGAACTTGCAGATACTGTTTCCTTGAACCATATATGAGGAACCCTTCTGTTGCCCACAGGTGGGTCTGTGGTTGCAGGAACTTCTTACCTTAACAGCCGTCTACAGGACAGCAGTTCTGCAAGGGGAGGGTTACCCTCTGTGAGTTAGGTCTGATTTCATTCCAGTGCACAGAGAGTTAACATCTTTTGTGAGCTATTAGGTATATATAAGAGGAAGTAAAGCACCAGCATTTGTAATCAGTTATTTTGAATGCCATTCATTCCCAGTGGACATTCCTGAAAGGCAGTTCTTGCCAGCATGTCAACTGGATGCCTTTTCTCTGAAATGCTGGAGTTCCCCCCAGCCTTTGCCAAACAAGCCTTTATGACCTGGAAAGTCTCCAGCATGGGGTGTGCTGGGGTGAGACCTTGGTGCCCCTGCTCTTTCTTGGAAGCTGCAAGAGTTGGAGCATCCTAGTGTTCATCAGGCCAGCATTGCTGGCTGCTGGATAAATGCATGAGTTAATTCTCTCTTCGATCTTTAATAGCAGCTTTCATACAGCATTCCATAGACTCCACAGCCCTATTAAATTCCCTGTGACAATTACAAGAATTTGCCTTCTGGAAAGACTAATTCATGCAAGAGCTTTAATGAGTGTTTTTCCCCCTCCCTGTAGATCTGTGCTTAAAAATCCTCTCTCATGCTGATACAAAAACACAGTTGCAGATTATATCTTTAAAAATACAGTTATGTTAGCGTGCGTCGCAGGACTGAGTCTCTTATCAAGCTGGTAATGAATTCACTGTTTGCTGCTAAATGAATGCTCTGATTATTTTTCAATGCATTGCATTACATACATTTGCAATTCCATTCTTAGTGAGGCTCTGTTGGAAAATGTGCTGATATGAAAAAAATTATTTTCATGTTCTGCTATCATTTAGGAGTAAATGGAGTGCTATCTTCCATTTTTTTGTATAACACTGTAGACTAGCCATCTGCTCTAGTCACTGCTTTCATTACTAACAGGAGAATTTATTTTTAGGTTCACATAGTGTGTAATGCTCGTATATTGATGCTGATCCTCAGTGTATGCTTAAAAAATTAGCTGTTCTTTATTATTTATGAAAAAAACAACTATTCAAGAATAACAGAAGGAAAGCATAAACAAACTATCCTTGTTTGGGGAAAAATCATGGTTTTGCTTCGTAAGCTACTTTACTAACAGCCTAGTGAAGCTGTTCATGCTTGAGGCATTTACAGCTCAAGGAATCCTCAGAAACATGAGTGAGTCATCAAATTATTCCTCGTTGCTTCTTAGGGAGCTGAAACAATGATCAGCCACCTAATAATAAAGGAACACTGTGCTGCTGATTATAGGTTATTGTATGAGTTATCAGTGTGACCTCAATATTTCACTGAGATGCAAATTTTTAATTACTAATCTAGACTGGGTTGATTTTTCTTTTCTTGCTGGTCTTGAGACGTTGTAATGGGGTGTAATTTTTCAAAAGATATGTTTGTAGCCTAGTGTTAGTGCTATCCTGCTCTGTTCAAGTGTTCCGAGCAAGACAAATGGAAGTACTTCAAATCATTAGTCACCAGTAATGAGGGTGCTTGTGGCTCTACTGCGAGAGGTTAAGCAACGTTGTTCAGCGGTTGGCATTCCAGTTAGGATATCAGACAGCACTGTGGCCCTGTGATATTTGTGGTGCAGGTGATACGAAGCGTTTTAAATAATGTGTAGAACAGTTCGTGTAACATTGCAGCTGTCATAGTGGTAAATCAGTTTTTGTACCTGATTCTTGCTTAGCGTTAAGGTTAACAAAAACAACTTTTTAAAGAAGAAAGCTCAAAAGCCATCTTGTGGTGCAAGCATACTTCTCAAAACACAGTTCATTTATGCTAGTCTTTTAATTGACTGTAAAGCATAATTAAACTGCACCTTAAATGTATGCAGAGCTACTCTCTTCTTAAAGGTAAGGTCTTAGGAGTAGCAGATCACATTTTTTCAAGAAATAAGCCTGAGAATCACTATCTCGAAATCAGAACTGTGTCTTTCAGCACATACTCTACTTGTCAAAACTGATTTTATGTATCCTTGAGTGAAGAGTTCTCTCTCTCTTTTTTTTTTTTTTTCCCCTCACAACCTTGTCCTATTTTCCCATTTTTATTTTCTGCTTTAATTTGTTCCTATTAATTTTCCCTCTTCCCCTCCTTGTGTTCATTAACTTCCAATATGTATGACCGAGTATCACCGCTTTTGTATATCTTCTAGCCTGACTTCTGATTTCACTTTGATTCCCACAAGTAGGGGCACTTTAATTTAACCTAATGCATATCATCATTGGAATTGTCAGTGTTACCACATAAAATACAGCGTTGGTCTCCCCTTGGCATACAGATCAGTTAGCATTCAGTGTTGATTCTATGCATCTTAGGGGACCATTTAATAGTTATATAGGAATCACGGGATCATTAAGGTTGAAGAAAACCCAGTAAGTCCATCAGGTCCAACTGCCATCCCCTCCCCACCATGCCCACTGAACTATGTCCCTGAGTGCCATGTCTACTCCAGTAAATAGTCTCCACAAAATCATGCTGTGTTTTTACAGCTGGAAGAAATAAGTTCTCGTCATAATTAATGAAGTTCATTCCAGTGCTATAATCATACTATGTGCCTTTAAATAAAATTTAAAACTGAATAATAAAACAAATTTCATATATTTTAACTGCTGTGTTATGTGCAGTTTCCTGTACCATCAGAGTGGCTGATTCCAGCATTTGGATTTTAAGTCGTAAGCTCAGCCTCTGTGTTTGTGCATATTCACCATCTTGGTATTTTATATGTAAATCTCAGGATTTCACTACCATGCATATTCCCCTGCAAGTACTTCTCTGCCACAGTGCAAATCTCTGTGAGCATAGCCTTGAATTTTTACAGATAGTTTTATTCCAGTTGCATGGCTAAGACATTTCGTGTATGTGTGCCAAGCTGTCAAAGCTGCAAGGATCTAAATGAGGCCAGAGCTGCCACCCTTAGGAAACAGAGAACACAGAGATTTGAGGGCATGATGCTCGAGAGCTGTAATATCTTGCTGCAGTGTAGTTTAGGTTTCTTATGGAAGGACTGGAATGCTTAAGGAATGAGCGGGAGTCCAACGTAACTGGATATTGTGAGGTTTATTTCTGTGAACAAAGAGCAAAACTGTGCCAGTTTGTTTAGGGCACAACTGGAAGAATGTCAGGCATACTGCTAAGGGTGCATCTTTTCTGCCTGAAAGAATAAAACCTACTCATTATTAGTGCAATAATGAAAGTGCTAGAGCAGTCCAGTTGTAAATGAGTTACACCCTTTGCGGTTTTGCTAATTCTCAATGTGCTGTGATCCCTCAGTGTGCATGCACCATCTCAACTGTCTCACTGAATGCTAATGAGCTTATACCGAAAGTAATCACAGAAAGACATCTCTTCCACATCAACACCTATTACCAGCTCCAAAATTGGTTTGTTAAGCTTACTGGGGATATGCCTATAGCTGTGTAGCTGCCTGTAAAAACTGGAAGTCACAGCAGGCTCTGTGAAATAGAGCAGTAAGATGGACTTGAGGACTATCATGTCGTGCCTGTACCAGGGAGATGTCTGAGTATTTACCAAATACCTTGCAGCTATCCCTAAGGCAGTGTAAAGACAAGGTAAAAACGAAGGAACAAACTGCATATGGAAGTCCATATATTAACAACACAGTTCCTATAATTAGAGGCAGGCAGGAAGCAATATATTAAGAACACACTTATATCTAGCAGTGCCTTAGATCAGCTCTGAGATTTTCTCTGCTTCCTCCAGCAATCCAGCTGACAGATGGTGTCATAGCTTTGTGGCTGAGATCCAGAAGTGAAATGCATGTCTTGGGTTTAGCTATCACTAAAGGGAATCTTGAGTTGGAATGTGTGTACCCAAGCTGTCCCCAGCTTTTCATTCAGGCCTTTCTCTTCCAAGAATTTCCTGTGATTGGTAACTTTGGGTTCACAACTCATTTTAGTACTCCTCCTAGGGTTTAGCATATCTCAACACTGTCTTTAGAAATGCTTTTTTCCTTAGATGGAGTAAGCTGGAGTCATCTTCTGCCTGTATGAAAAATGGGGTTTCTTAATTATTCTCCTGGTACATCAGTAGAAAGAAGTCACAAACCTGCAGTTTACCTATTGGAAATATTTCCTCTATTTTGATGTGTTCTTTACACAGTGAAACTTCTTCCATGTAAGTTGCCAACTCTGTCTTTTATGAAACTACAAGTAAGCATGTGATTTATTACTATTTCTTGTTCAGGATTAAAACACAGTCATAATCATACACATCCAGGATGAGTATAAGCTTAAAAGGAATTAGGTTAGGAAGAAATTCTTTACTCAGAGGGTGGTGAAGCCCTGGCACAGGCTGCTCAGAAAAGTCCCATCCCTGGCGGCATCCAAGGCCAGGTTGTATGGGGCTTTGGGCAGCCTGATTTACTGGGTAGCAACCATCCCACAGCAGGGTGCTGGAACTGGATGGGCTGTAAGGTCC